TATATATATTTTAGATTATCCCCTGATAGAAATGTGCTTATTTAAGAACAAGGATCTTTGTCTCTTGGCCATGGACATAATCTGAGCATCTGGATACTCACTGCAGTGTAGAACAAAAAGAGAAAATGAAAGCAACTTAGTAGAAGTGAGAGGACAAACCTTTCGAATTTGCTGAAGCAAAAACCCACTTTATAAACAAAATATTCAGAGGTAAAATAGAGAAACATTTCTTGATGCATGAAGAAAAAAGTGTACAAATGAAAATAATATACTATATCCAAACAAAGATCTTAATAGAAGGACCCAATACCAAGTTGCAAGATGCAATATCAATATGCATCCAGGTTAACTTATACTGTAGAAAGAGACAAAGAATTCTTGAGACTTAAAGCAGAAAAAGCTAGTTATTTGGAAATGAGAAAAACCAAGTCTGGTTTTAAGCCATTCATGGCAGTTTGAAGTGTCAGGAAAGAATAGGAACAGTGTATGCAAAATTATGAGGAAAACAAAAACAAACCAAGATCCAAGAATAGTATAGTTAAGCAAGTGGTCACTAGGTACAGTGACATAGCCATAATACATACAAATTTTTCTCAAAAAATTAAAACTATACTATTCCAAGTTGAAAGAGTGAATTCTATAGTGGAGAAGCTGTCTGAAATGAGTTAGCAGTGAGCATTGAATTTATTCAGTGAAAGAAGTAACAGTTTAAACCACTGTAGGGATTATGGTTAAATATAGAATATAAGTGTTACAGTGTTTTTAATTATAAGTATTTTCCACAGTAACGCAAAAAGAATGATACCAACAAAATTGAGATGGGAGGCTGGATAAAAGAGGAGACTACATGTGCATTGATTTTCTTAGTTTTCATAGATCAACTATTTTATCTAAAGTTTTATGGCAACTGCAAAAGAACTAAAGTTAAAATCTAAATCTTCCATATTTCAGAAAGAAAACAATATATAGCAAAGTAAAGCACTATTATAGCTGTATTATCCAACAAGATAGGTACTAGCTACATATGGTGACTTAAATTATAATGAACATTAATTAAAGTTAAGTAAAATTAAAAGCTCACCTTTTCAGTCTCACTCGCTGTATTTAAGTGCTCAGTAGCCACATGTAACTTGTGGCTACTGATATTGGATGATGTGGTACATTTGCATCATTGCAGAAAGTTATATTGGACAGTGCTGCCTTATAGGAAACAAAGAAGTATTCAGAATAGAGATGTAACAAAACACATAGAAGTAATCCTAAACACTGCCTATTAAAAGAAATACCTATTAATTCAAAAAATAAAATATAACTAAATATATGTGACATGTTGTGTTTTGTAGTTTAAAGCAAGTTAACAAAGTTTGAATTTAAAAGAGTGGTTGAATGCACACAAGGCAAACACTGTTAGCAGGAAGCTCAGAACTTGGTGTTAATACTGTATTAGGAAATTAGTTTCAATGCAAAAAAGTTTTTTTTTGTTTTTTTTTTTTGCTTGTTTGTTTGTTTTCCGGTACCAGGTCAATGCAAAAAAGTTTTGAATGAGACAGAACTGTATTGAATGATTATGTGTTAAAATACATAAACCAAAAATCACAAAAAATGCAAATAGAAGCAAACCAGTATGTCCTTGTTATAAAAAGAAGAAAAAAGGAACTGAGTAATACATTTGTAAAGGTTAATTAATATTTATGAAAATTATACATTTATAATAGAATGGGCACCTTTACAAGTGTTTATAGAACACTTCCAAAGTTCAGTATACATACAGCCACTGAACACCTCTTAATTTCGGAAAGTGGAAATACAGCAGAGTCTGTATTTTGTTATTACAGTGCAGTTAAACTATAAATTGACTTTGAAAAAGAAACAATAATACTTAAATATATCAAAATGAAAGAGTATACTAATTGTACTAATTACACAGTAGAAAGAAATAATATTATATTGGGAAGGAAGTGGCAGTTATTAACATGACTTCTTTATATTAGGCTGTTTAGAGTTACATTCCTATTTTGTTACTTTCCAGATGAGTCATTATGTGCTTTGGTTTTCCCATCTATAATATAGGGCTAGCACTAATAACTTATTATAGGGATTTTGTAAAGATTAAATGGTTTTTATATATTTGAATACTTATTAGAATATAGGATAAAATAAAAATTTCAATTTGTTATAGCACACAAGAGTGATGAAATACTGAAAAGTAAACTTAAATGTGCAGGACCTATCTGTACAAATTTAAAAACTATTGAGGAACAAGCTGAAGAAGGCCAGGGAAAATGGAAAGGATTCATCCTTTGTTAGCGTGTGTATGTATTGGTTGACCCTTCAAACCAAGATGTTGATGGAATATTGACAAATGATTCTAAATCTCACCTGAAACAGTCTGTGTGTCAACAGCCCATATCATTTAGATAAAAAAGAATCATCAGGGAGAAGCTGCTCTCTGTAATGGTATAGTAATTAAAATAAATTTGTATTGAAAAGGAAAAACAGTAAGGGAAATTATAGAAGTAGGCCCAAATTCACATATGATTTTAGTATATAAAAGCTAACATTTCTAATCAATGTCAGCTTTTGTTAAAAATCTACATATAGTGCTAATAGAAAAATATTCTTAAGTTTATATTAAGTCAAAAAGGTGACGTTTCCAATCTGTATAAAAATTTGAAAAGAATATTTGATTTGGGATAACAGCTACCATTTGAGGGGGAAAGCAACATAGATTTCTGACATCTGTGTTTCACTAAAATTAACCGAGTCTTTTCCTTTGGTAATGTGAATGTCTCCCCAGTAGTCTTTTACTAGTAATTCTAGTACTTGTTAATGTTGCTTCTCTGATGGTTGAAAGTGGTGATTTCTCCCCTACTTTTTTTATTCTCACATTTATTATTTAGCATTATTTTTTACAAAACTTTCTCCCCCTTAAAAATATTTATTTTAGCATCAGTCTGGAATCTTAAACATTTTTATTTGTGTTATAAACAATTTCTATCATTATATGTATTGATTCTCTCATTGTTCCAAATTTGTTTAACAGAATCCTCAGTTTTTAAGTCTAATTGGAAAAATATTTATGGGAAAATGGTTAATACATCACTTATACCCAAATCTGTGCTACAAATAAAAAGATACTTTAGAAATACTCAGGTGTTTGTCAGGTGTGGTTGTGCACACTTGTAATCCCAGCATTCTGGGGGGCTGAGGCAGGATGAGTGTAAATTAAGCCAAGCCTGGGCAATTCAGTATCTTTTTGAGACCCTGTCTTTAAAAAAAAAAAAAAAAAAAAAAAAGCATCACTGAGGATGTAGCTCAGTGCAAAGTCCCTAGGTTCAATCCCCAGAACTAACAAAATTTTTAAAAAGTCATATATTTAAAAATACATGAATAGATACCTAAAAATGTTTTTTTTAAAGATTGATATAGAAATATTCTCAAGTTACTAAAAACAAAAGGAAAGATTTCAAAGTGAAGAGCCATTGGTGTGCATTTTAATAAATGTCTGTGGTTGTAGACATTTAAAATTCTTTCTGGGATTATATACATTTAAAAATTTTTTTAGCCATGTGTGGTGGTGCATGTCTGTAATCCCAGCACTTGGGAGGCTGAGGCAAGAGTATTGTTCTGAGTTTGAGACCAGCCTGGGCTACAAAGTGAGCTCAAGGCCAGCCTGAACTGCATCGTGAGACCCTGTCTCAAAAAGACAAATAAATAAATACA